AACATCAAATTTACATGAACGTACCACAGAGCAAATACATTTTATAACATCAAATTTACATGAACATACCACAGAGCAAATACGTTTTATAACATCAAATTTACATGAACATACCACAGAGCAAATACGTTTTATAACACCAAATTTACATGAACATACCACAGAGCAAATACATTTTATAACATCAAATTCACATGAACATACCACAGAGCAAATACATTTTATAACACCAAATTTACATGAACATACCACAGAGCAAATACATTTTTGTGACTGTAATCATAAGTTTACTAATTTTGTATTTTTCTTCTTGTATTAACATATCAAAGGATGACCCATGGGTGAGTGTAATATGAAATTTCTGGTATTTTTCAGTGTTTGAATGTAAAGACTTGTGAAAACGTTCATTTTGTCACTAGTAATTGTCTTGTGTGTGTAATTTTGAAAAGCACGACTGTTTTACAGATCAGCATGACAAAAAAATGTTGTGTTATAAATTTTCCAGTGGTTTGGTGTTCTTTATTCTCTACAGAAGTTTACAACACTATGTTCAGCACGTAAATTGTTCAGTGGTGAATGAGGATGTTTTTTTTGTGTGTGTATAAAACTTTCAATACCAGCAAGGTATTCTTATGATTGCATGAAATCAAGGCTATATGAAGTATTTATAACTACATATATTTATAAAAGTTTATAAAAATCCATCCATTAGCACCTGGTTAAGTCCCACCCTTACCAAGATGGCATATAAGATCTGGTGCTGAACTCTGGGTTAATTAACACAAATGGATGAGAATGTTGACCCATTCCCAATGGATCGGATGCCAATCCATTGCAGGTTAACCCCCAGCTAACAGTTGGTACCCATCATACTGGGGGGTAGATTGAAACAATTGAGGTAAAGTATCTTATTCATGGACACATCAGCAAAACTCAAACCAGCCTCGAACTTGTAACCAACCAAATATGAGTCCAAAACTCAAAGCCAATGAGACATGCTGCCTCCCGTGGGATTCATCCATACCAAACTAAAATATATTCAAAAACTTGACAAACACCGACGCTCATGCCCAAATCAACCTCCATCTAGGTCCCTTAGCATGTAAGAAATTGAAAAACAATAAAATTTTCTGATACATCATAATTCATCTTTAATTGTAAGATACTCTTCATTTTAGTTTGCACT